GTGTGTTTGGACGACAAGGTTGGACTGGATTGGAGATCTCCTATCCAACCTCAAACTATCTATCATTGGACTGGTTAAGGTTTAATAGCAATATCCTACTATTTCCAGTGTTTGGATAATACAAGCACTTCGATGGAACCCATGAAGAAGGGTAATGGAATATGATACCATTAATTGTTTTGTCCCTAACCTGTCCAAACTAACACCATGTTTAGTTTATGAATTAGCCTTTGACCAATTTCAAACAAATTTTTATTACATGTAATTTTTAAAAACGTTGTAATTTCATATCCTTTAGACTGGTGTTTATATGTTATGAGAACTATTGAGAATTAACTCAAGCTCTCATTAATTAGTTTTTTCATTATTAGTTGTTAATTAATCTTATTCCAAATAAGATATTGCTTTATTAGAGTTAATTTATTATTTAAATTAGTTGTCTTGTTAGAGAATACTATCTTGATCTTCTTAAGGTATGTCAGTAGATCCTTACTTTGACAAAATAAATTTGTTGAAAAAAAATTATATCTATGAAAAAAATAGAAAGAGGAAACGAGGTAGAGAGAGAGAGAGAGAGAGAGAGAGAGAGAGGAGAACGAGACAATTCAGTCATTTGCATTAGTTATCCTGTTTGGCAAAAAAAATCTTAGCCCCCCTTGGGTTTCATTTAACCCACGTAGATGGATTAAAGTTGATTTTCCAAATTGGGTTGGATAAAATTCGAATGGGATTTATGATACATTTTTTACTTACTAAACGTGGGATACATAAGCCCCACATGCATTTTATTCTATTCTACTAGAGTTGTCCCCCTTTAATCCGTGATATAAACATACCCTAAAGGAATATAAAATATAACTATTGAATTTTAAAAATAAAATAAAATCTAACAATTAGTGATTTGAGTAAAAGTTTGAGTCTCCTCGATTTGAGTAAAAATTTAAGTCTCCCATTATTTAATACTATAAGTGTAAGGTGGTGTTTGATAAAACTAAAAATTGAACACTAAAAATTGAATGCTAAATTTTAAGTTCTAAATTCTAAATTTTTTAATTCGCAGACTGTTTGATATCAACTGAAATTTAAGTATTAAATTAAATCAAATTATTTGACAAATATAAGGAGTTAAAGTTTAAAAATTATTATTATTCTAATTTTTTCATTATTTTTTACCATCTCTCTATAACATTCCTACCACCATCATCACAATGGTAGTGGTGGTGATGGTGGTTGTGGTGATGTTGACACAATAGTGGTGGTGATGGCGGCGGCACAATGGTGATGACAATAGTGACGGTGGTAGCACAATGGTAATAATGGCAGCAATGGTGATAGTGACAATGGTGATGGTGACAGTAGTGATGGCACAATAGTAGTGGTAGTGGAAGCGACACAGTGTTGATGGTGACATAATGGTAATGGTGGTAAAGACACAATAGTGGTGACTGTGGCGACAACACAATTGTGGTGATAGTAGATGGTGGGTATTAAAAAGTTAAGAGTATAAAATGCATTGAGGGTTTTCCATTATGAGGAATTGATAAAATTTTTAATAACATTTTTAGCATTGAATGATAAGTAGATGACTTGTTATTTAAATTTTTAGCCTATTTTTAAGAAATACTTAAAATACCAAGTAATATGAGTTTTAAGTTATCAAATGAGTTTAATTCATTAAGTGTTTAAAGTATTTTGTTTTAAGTGGTGTTATCAAACAGATATTAAGTAAAAGTTTGGAGCTTGTTTTTAAACCTCTTTTTACTCTCATTTAAATTTGAGTCAAGTTTTGAATAAGGGTCAAAAATATTCCAAGAATAATAGAAAAGAGAACGATTATGCTGCCAATAAGAGTCGGTCATAACTTGTGTGCCTAGCGGTGGACTGGTCCTTAACCACTTTGACAAACCCACTTTGTTCAATGCATATCAACTTCAAGCTTAACAGTGGCATAAAATGAGAAAAAATGTTGATTTGAGAGAATCTAAATTCACCCCAAAATATGTTTTTTCTGAATTTCTCTCGTGAGGCAGCAGTGGGCAATGCTGCAGGGAGATAGAAGGTCCACGAGTCGTAAACTTCTTTTCCTAGAGAAGAAACAATGACAGTATCTAGAGAATAAATATCGGTTCACTCTGTGTCAGCGATCGCAATAATACAAAGAATGCAATTACAATTTGAAATGATTGGATGTAAATCATCTGTAGGTGACTTTTTAAATTTGTCATCAAATCACTCGAAGCAAATTAAAGTTAAACTACTCATATAAGTAAGTATTTTTTTAAGACATGATATATAATCCATCATCGAAGAAGAAAAAAAAGGACCTTAAAAGGAATCAACCCTTGTTCATGAGCACCTTAACATGATCCACCAATCACCATGGAAAAAGGGCCAAGTACAATAGAAATGATACTGTAGAATTCACTATTCCTGTTTTCCATATCCAAATAACGCTCATCGAACAAGTAGCAATATACTGTATAAATGACGAGGCACCCAGCAATGTATTAGGCAAATTGATGCTATACTTCTTGACATCTTCCCCACCGACTCTCATAATGAGGAGGTAAATTACACCTAAGAGTTCCAAGAAGAATGAAACAGAAATTAGGGTAATGATTGGAAAGTACTAGTCCGAAGGCATACATGAGTGCTCATAATTTTGGTTGATATGATGCCCTCCCTTTGAAGGCATCATATAAAGTGAGTAAAACCTAATGATGACCAGCGTGGATAATCATGTCCCCATTCACTATATTTTACTCGTGTGTCACCTATCCACCAACTTTTATGGATGGATTAGTATGTTTACATCCTAAATTTTAATGAAAATGACCAACACTTTTTATATATTTCGAAAATGATATAGAATTCCCTTATTGAAAAAGTCATTAATGGAATATCCATTTTACCCTTGTGGGTTCAAAAAGTTATTAAAACTTTTGTTCTCAAAACAAATATTGTATAGGGAGATCACTCCAAATGATAAAGAAAATCCGCAAACAAATATCATCTAATATATACAAATTAATTCCTGATTTTTTCAGTTTTTATAGTAGACGGCGCTAGAAACTAATTGGTCTAGGTTGTAGAGTAGGATCATATGAAGTCCAATAAATGTATGGATGTGTGTGTGTAGTGGATGTGTGTGTGTATGTGTGTGTGAAGGTGTATCTATGGATGATCAACGACGTAAAGACAGAGTATAAGTGGTTCGTCTTAACTAAGAAATTAATGTTACATTCATTATAAGATAGGTTTTTGCTCCTTGAAGATTGTATTACTTAGAGAAGAAGGTGATCGTTGCAGAAAATTTGACTTGAAGTTGTTACAAGGTATTGCTTGATTCTCTCTAATTAACTTATTTGGTGCTCTCCCCTTTCGTGCCCTATAGTATTTATACTATTGATGGATAGAGTTCCACGTTTTTTCTTCTTGGCTGATCCTATGGTTCCTTATGTTACTGTTTTCATCTTGGTGTTGTGGGCCCTAGAACATTTCTGTGTCCACTACTTATAGTCTGTTATACTTGAATCGTCTCCACTACTTGTGGGTTTCAGTTCATCAGAGCTATTCATGTGTCGTGTTGCAATTTTTACATTCATCTTGTGCCAAGCTTCTATTCGCCGAGCTGATACCCGTACTGAGCTTGTTAATCCCGAATTTCCTTGAAATTGGCTTGCAGCCCACTTTGAGTCCAAGGGACGTTGTTTGAGTGGGCTTCTTGAGGTGCTTCCTGCCAACCCAAAGGATCTTGGGTTCTAAAGGGACGCAGACATTAAATTAGTCATTATCAATAGTCATTCCTTCTGAAAAAAAAAAAAAAAGATCTTATTTTGTTGGAATTGAATGTTGTCGGATTTGAATCTTGTAGTCCTAAGCCATTGATCTTGAAATTTAATCAAATGGCTGCTTTTAATGTGATCACCATACAGCAACGTCAATCACTACTCAATGAAATCAAGCGGAGGAAGCACACTAGTGCAATAGTACACAACACTCAAAATTAATTTTTTATTATTTGATTTATTTGGAGAATGAAGATTTAAAAATAAAAGAAATATCTACTATGCGAAATATTTGTCACTTCACATTTGAGAATAGTCATATATACATAATTTTGCTTGCAAAAATTTATTTTCGTAGATTAAATTCTCATTATCCACGTCATAATAAAATTATCTATATCATTGCTCGCTCGAGATAATAAATTAGAGAGATAAAAAACGAGCGTTGACATGAACTTTTGAAATTTTTGAAACTTTGTTTTACAAAATGGATGCCCTCAAGACAAAATACAACCAATGTCCTATTATACAACCATAGGTGGTTGTTTGACTTGTTAATTAAAAAACCGTGAATAGGGTTTATTAAAATGTTAAAAAATTGGATTAGCGCTTGTTTAAGCTACCATTGTGTCCATACGAAACAATGTAGCTCAGGTGTATTGAATAGTCCTTGTGTACATTATAGAAAGGAAAAGTGGGCCCCATTGCCTTGATAGCTGACCGTTTAGGATCTGATCCATTTGGACCGTTACAAAAAACATTTCAAAAAATTCAAAAGGGTATAATAGTTTCTAGCACTCCAGCTTTTGGTCTCACCACTCCACTTGATACCATTAGAACAAAAAACAAATTTGGGGATGGAGTGAGAAAAGCAATATATGAGTGCTTTTATCACTTTCCTTCAAAACCCCTCCCCCGCTTTACTGGTAACCGTTAATCTCATAAAATCAACGGCTCAGATTTCTCCCCCATAAACCCCCTGAATCATACCAAGTCTAGATCTTCCCTCTCTTGCTTCTAACCTTCCCTCTCGCTTCAAGACCCTGTTTAGCTTCATCTACCGTACTGTCATTGCAAACTTCCTTTGATTTTCCAACAAATTCTTGGGTTTTCCGGGGAAATTTTTTGAGTTTCTTGCAATCCAATCAGGTCCAGACACTGGGTCTCCAAGAAACGCACGAGGGCATGTTTGGATAGCGAGGTACTAATAGCATGCCAGTGTCAACAAGGTCTCAGATCATCAACAACCCAGGACAGAATGAGCCAAATCAAGACAACAGAACCAGACCCAAGACAGATCAAGAAGAGACCCACATGGCTCACCCATTGAGAAACCCACACCATGGACTGAAAGAGAAAATGAAAGCTTTGACCCTCTTGTATGAGAGCAAAAACAAGCCTCTGCTTCTGTCAAGGACCCTTCTTTCAAATCCGAAGAGTCAAGATTTTCAACTCATCCGAGCATAGACCTTCTTAGTTCTGGCAAAAGAGCAGAATCAAAACCCAAAGAATCAAAACCCATAAGCCATGTGATGAGAGAGAACATAATGCCTAGTTCCACAGTGACAAGGACTTATGTGTTGCCACAACCACCAGTGGTGGAGGATGCTAAGGAGAACGTGGCCGTGGGCGGTGGTGATCGGATTGTTGGGTTTTCATGTCCAAGAAAGGCTAATATGTCGAGTACTGTGGCGAGAAAGCTCTCAATGGGAAGCTCAGTAGTGCCACAGACAGAGCCAAGAGAGATTGGAGGGACTAACAAGGAGAATGTGCAAGAATTGGATACTATTTCAGAGAAACCGGGTGTTGGTAATAGAATTCTTGTTTTTTTGTGAGGCTTAGGCCTATGGCCAAGAAGGAGAGAGAAGCTGGATCAAGATGTTGTGTTCGGATTGTCAACAGGGGTGATGTTTACTTGACTGAATTCGCGAGTGAGCACGATTATCTGAGGCTAAAGAGGCTTCGTGGGCGGCATTTTACCTTTGATGCTTCATTTCCTGATTCCACCTCTCACAGGAAGTCTATTCCATGACGTGAGTTCAAAAGTTTTTCCTTTCCTTTCTGTTGGTTTTTTATTTACTCAATTTTATCTTCATTTAAGGAATCTAAACCTATATGTTTGAGTTTTAATTGTAGCATAACCACCCATTACCATGTTGCTGTTTATGTTTAGTTTTAGGATTCCATTTTCTTGAAGGTCAGATTTTGTAGCACAAACTTGGCTCTAAAGTTGTTTGCCTCGCCTGAATTTTTTTTCCTTTGGCCCCAAAACTATCACACCTGTTTTACGTAAAATTTGATGGTAGTTTAAGTCCCTGAGGCAGCTGATGAATCAAACTCTTCACTGCCCC